CAATAAATATGCACTGCGTTGTTTCTGTCAATTTTGCTGTTGAGTTTTTGTTTTTGTTTTTGTTCACATGTCCCTCCTCAAGTGACACCTGCTGTTTGAATAAATAATTATAGATTTATTTATGACAGTCAGGACATTCTTCAAGGGTTTAATTTGTATTTAAAGTGTCTTAACTTGTCTTTAGTTCATGAGTTATTCCCTCACCGTCCCTACACGGATGCTTCTGTGTTTTCCATGATGGAGGAACGAGCTGAACACGTGTCAGTCATCCATAATGAAAAGTCAAAGCTCACAGGGCCGACGCTCCCAGCTCTATTTTCAGCTCCAGCATCCAAATGACCCGGTTTCCACATCAACGACACACACGACTGAAGGCAGCGGAAACTTAAACTGTTTAATCCACAGATCCTCAAATCCAACCAGCTTCACTTTATGGACAGAAAAACCCCGACCTGCAGCGACTTACAGCGAGGAAGACGAGAGAAAAGAGGGAACTGACGGCTGAGAGACTTTACAGGAGAGCTGGAAATATCTGGAAGAAGATTTTACACTCGGCTGAGATGTCACAGACTGAACAGCTGAAAATTTCACATTCTGAATCCGAGTTTGAAATTCCATTATTTTGCATTTAAAATAGTTTCTGTTTTTTATTTTAAATGTCTTGACTCTCTAAGGCCCCGTGTCAGCTGGTGTTTTCTTCTGAGCGCTAGCAACTTATTATTATTTTTTATAAAAGAATATCATCTATTTTTCCGAGCTCTCCGCCTTCTTGGTGCGGCCGCTCCAAGTTGATTATTATTATTTTTTTAGAAAGGCACTGTTGATGTCACTGTCACTCTTTTCCAAATGTATATTTCCCGTAGCTTTGCCGCCTACAGGTCATGTCTTGTACCCACACATCCTCCTCGCTCCGTGTCTGATCCGTGTAAAAACAATATCAAATAAAAAACATGCAGTAAAAAGTAACGGAGCAGTGTGGGTCCTATGATTAGTTATTGTGATTAAGGCATAAATGCTGACAGGACTATTCATCTGAAAATATTTGCCTGTGTACAAAATTCACATATCCTCCTCCTCCTCTTCAGTGTGAATAATTCTCAGAGCTCCTCAAAACATGTGTGTGAAGTTTCTTGTTCTAAATCCACTCTGATCCTGTATTTGAACATGTCTATAAACCCCTCTATTTCAGCCCTGCTCAGAACAGGCTGTTTCTGTGTCTGTACCTTTAAATATGTAAATGAGCTGTGTCTGACCACGCCCCCTCTCTGGAAGGGCTCGTGTGTACTCGGGCTTTCTCGCTCCATGTCCTATTGTTTACGGTGAGAAGGCAGACTCAGAGGGCAGAACAAACACCTAGCTGTGGGAGTGTCACCCACCTGGGGGAGGGGCTACTGCCCTTTGTGATGTCATGAAGGGAAAATCTCCAAACGGCCTGTTTAAGCACACATTTTCTGAAAAGTGGAGCAGGCAGAAGACGGAGAGGATGGACTTTTCTCATCATTGGGGGTTTTGTAGACGGACTAAGGGGGCCATATTAGAGTTAGAGGAACATAGGGAAGTGGATTTTGCAGAATATGTGACCTTTAATACTGTTCATGTTTTTTAAGGTTAATTTTTGGGCTTTATGTCTTTATTTGAGACAGGACAGTGGATAGAGGCGCACAGAAACCACCCGGCTGCCTGCTCCTCAGAGCGCGGTGGGTTTCAGAGTACTTATCTGTAATCAGGATGTGACAGAGTCTGTTTAATGAGTGTGTCAGAACTCTACAGTTTCCCCACATGTCCTCCATGAATCAGCACATTTCCCGCAGCAGTACACTGACTGTTTCTTCAGTTTGAAAAGGTTTGCTTTAGTGCTGTCGTCAACAAGTCCTCGTCTCCTCTCACACTCTGCACAGCTGGAGTGTGTTGCCCTCTTTTCAGTCTGCCTGTGCAGATTACACATACGTCTCCACATGGGTATCAGAAACACAGCAGTGCTCCTTTAAAGAGCCTTTTTGTCCCCTCACAGGCCCGTCAGGTCAAGAGTTAACGCTTTCTACAAGGAAACCTGACAGATCAGAGAAACATGAGTTCACACAGAAATCTGGAGCATTTTTTTGTGTAGAAGCAGCTTTCTCTCTCCTTCATCCTTTCCTTCTGTCCTTCCTCTCCTGCCACCTTTCTAAATTTAACCTCTGCCGCTCAGCTTCTCCTCGCTCCCCTCCGTCCTGCGGCTGCTCGGCTCACCAGCAGCAGCTTCTGTCCTTGTCGGAGTTCATGTGGACGAAACAGACCAGCGACCGCTCTCCCTCTGGCTGGTGTCCTTTATTTAAACCACTCAGATCTGACCAGGACACATAACCCTGTACTCAGTTTCCTTTAAAAAAAATAACGTGTCCTCTTACTGTTGGGGGTTCTTCTTCTGGTTGATCACTTCACTAATACGCAAGTAAAGAAACCATCTGTGAGTGTTTCTGTCCAAGCGTGACAGCTGACATTTAAAAATCTTGAAAAGTCAGAGGTTAAATCATGTGAATCATCAACGTCATTCATCCTCCCTCTCCTCTGGTCCGTCCGGTTTGTCTGCACTGATAACTATTCATAAGATGATGATGTTCAAGAATAACACCAGCGTGATACATATCAGGTGTGGCCTTTATTCCATCACAAAAGAAACAAAGACAAGATGTAGCCGCTGACAAGACGTTGAGAAATGTAGCGAGCTTAAAGAAACAAATATCAGCTCGTGACTTCTGTCAGAGCGGATTGAGATCACTGCCAACCGTCTCATTCTTACGCTTAACATTTAATTTAACCTTAAAGTCAGTGTGGGTAATCTTCTTTTAAAGTATTTCCCACTCAGCTGACCACTCTAAATAAGATCCACCCCCCCACCCTGGACTGTTTTCGATCCATGTCTCTTCTCGCTAATGTTTGATCCCATCATATTTTACGATGTGTAACAACGCACCTAAAAATAGCTTACAGTAAAAAGACGTCCAAGGGATGATTTGAGTCCTCAGATGTGAAGCATTTTTCTATTCCAAGATAATAAAAAAAGTTAAAGGAAGAAGAGCGTCTTCACAATATGGAAGATGTGTAGAGAGTGAGATGATAAAGGTATCTTACTCTCTGATCATTAAGGAAACATGCTATGTTGAAGTGCTGGCTTCTCTGACAACAATGCAGCAGCCAGTATGTCCTCCTTCTAACTTTAGATTCTGCTCCTGAATGCTCTGGATTTGTTTGGACCAGAGAAGGAAGCGCTTTTAAGACACGCCCCCACACGGCCGTTTAGGACGCCCCTCGGTTTGTCAGATATGAGAGCAGTTATCAGGTCAACAGGTGTTGCAGTGATGGAAGCGGTCAAGAGAAGTGGTTCAGATAGAAGTGATTGTACCCGACCTAAAAAGCCTCTGCATGTTTCTAATAAGCTCCACGAGCAGAAACGTGCTCAAACTAGGATCAATATTGGAGATGCTTTTGAAAATGGAGAGAGGTTAGAACACAGAAAGGTTTACAGACCCATGCAGAGCTGGATAAACACTGAAGCTTCAGAGTCCACCACATGGTGACCTGAGTGAGCATCCACTCTAGAGAAGAGGGGGGGGAGACAGCTCTCTATGATGTTTAGAACTATTGTTGCAGTTTTGTTCTTTGATTATCTTATTAACTCTTTTAATAACTTGTAAAAACATCAGCAGCTTTATGATCTCTTCATGTTCAAACACCCGTAAAATATTGAATTAAAGGATGAGGTAACGCAGCAACGCTCGGCTCTTTCTTTTCAATATGAATGCCAGCTCATTCCGTGATATTACTGCGTAATGTAATTACATAGGGAAGGGCCATTTCAGCGCTGTGTCACAAAAATAACTACCTATTATAACAATGTAAGAGAAGAAACGAAGCAAACAAAAGGGGATATAAAAGAGACAGTATTGTGTTCTGTTTGAGCCGACGTTGTGTTGTCATGACAGAACAATGACACTGTGGAGCATGACGAGCCTCGAGAGTTTTCTCTCAGGCAATGGATTAAAATAGTCGCTTGGTTTCATCCCCGAGCTGCTGCTGGGCGTGTGAACGGCTTCCTGAGACTCATCTTCTCGAAAAATCAGCAGCATTCAAACCCAGACGAACAAACTACTACTGCCGTCTACATTCTGTGAATTGAAGCCAATAAACTGTCGGCGTTTTAAGATGTAAATTAAGTCTTAAAGAGTAGCTGTTTTCACGCAGGAAAAAAAACCTGAACATGTCCCGAAATATTCAGAGTTAAGGCCAACTTTTTGCTCAGTCAGGGTGAGGTGACGTGCTAACGCAGCAGGAAATATTCAGGAAAGTTCCATGCAATTGAGTCGGCAGGAGTGACGTTTTAAAAATGCGATCATCATAAGTGTAGCTTTGATTTAAAGGCTAACCCTCTCTTCCTATTGGCGGCGGCGTGATTCTTACATCACGTCTTGCCTCCTGAAACCTCGCCATGCGCCCAATACGACAGGGAAAATGTCACGCTGAGATGTGTGTCTGTGAACGAGCAATTCGAGGAACGAGGAAGTTCGTTCCACCACCGGGGGGCGACAGAGGAGAAGATATTCTGAGTGAGCTGCATCTGTCACCGACAACGGCCAACTTCTTTCCTCACAGACTTCAGACACAGCAATTCAGGATGACTTAAAGGTAAGGCTGGTTATTATCTGAAGGCGTTTATTTCTGCTGTAAAGATGGACATTTTAACATGGAGTTCTTTGGAGACTGTCACTTATAGAGACAGCCCCTAGTGGATGCCAGAGGTACTGCAGTAAAGCAGAAACATAAAAGATGAATAAACCTCAAAAAGCACGTAGAAAAAGTAGAAAAGAGTTCGAATGAGAATTGATTTTGGTGATGCATTTTCAAGATCGAGGGAGCTCATCGACTACAGAGTGTAATCGATCTCACTTGTTTTCTTTTTCAAGCGCAAGGCGTCATGTCGGGTAGATTTTTTGATTGTTTTTTAAGGAGGGAGCTTCAGCAGCAGAAGATGGTGCATTTCAAAGAGCTTCATTAGTTACCTGTAAGATGTATTTCTTCCATAGCGGCTCATCTTCACTGATGTCGAACTCATTCCAGCCGTGATAGGCTCTCCTCCTGCACACCTCTTCCTGGGTCAGACCCAACTGCAGGTCGGCCTGTCAGCACAAACACAAACAGGGGCGACGGCTGCTTTAAAGATCGGACTGATTCATCTTTATGAACGGTTACAAAAGGAAAAAAATATCTGATGATGTCTTTGCTGAAAATACCAGCACAGACATCACCAGCTGATGAGCGTTATGATGCAGCAGGGTTACGGCGTACCTGCAGGATGCACGCTGCTTCGTTGACGGGGTATTCGCTGGCTTTTCTGGAGGTTAGTACTGGGACCATGGTCTCATCTTCACTGGAGGGTTGTCTCTCGGAAAGCTGCAACACAAACAAACAAACAGACACGCTTTATTAAACCTGAAACACAGAAACTCTTTTGGCCGAGCTCGAGGACATTCATCTGTGGAGGAGGTCAGACGGGAACATGCGGTCCGAGTTCGTCTCGACATTCAGAGAAAATGAGCTGAACTCTTCGAGCTGACCGACGCTGACCCCCAGCACAGAACCAATGAGCTGTACAACCACAGACACAAACACAGCTCTGCAACAGCAGCCTGGAGCTGGACAACACTTTTTTATAGATCTCCAACTCCAAGCATTCAACATTCAGTTCATCATTCAGGAGGAACAAACTGTAAAGGATAACGTTTTGGATTCATCCATTTGTTATCCTAAACATCACGTTCTTCTGTAACATCGATACAGAAAAAAGCTGCAGAGATGAAAACAGTGCAACGGGTCGGCCAAACGCTGGTGTTTCTCAAATCCTTTCGGCTTCTCATTGAGATGGAAAAGTTAAGTTCAGTGACCGTCTAAATTACATAAATATATTTGCAACGTTTCAGTACCAAAACATTGCCAATATGTTGGTGTAATTTAGACACTGTGGAGGAGTTTGACTGCAACTTTCAGTGATGGCAGCGACAAGATATCACTTCATTTCAGGCGCCACACACGAGAAGATTTTCAAATCTTAACAGATTTTAAAAACATGCAAGACCACAGACATGAGGAAAGTTTCAACAGATTTTTTAAATTCTAATCCGGCCAGACTGAGTCATCGGTTTTTGCAGTTAGATTTCACATAGACGAGATCTCACAGAATCTCGTGTGATCAAACGTGACTTCAGAAGAAAAAACAAACAAATGGAGGACGATCGACTTGGTCAGCTGGCCGTCCTGCTGTGGGTTTTGTTTTTTTGCAAAACACAGAAAATGAGATAAACAAAACGGATGATTTCCTGGCTGAGAAGACGGAACTATCTGCAGCTTTGGACACTTTGCAGCGCGAGCCGACGGTGATTTGTCGGACGCAACACCTGATTGGTGACGCTTCCAAGTCTGCTCGCTCTCATTGGCTGCTGCGGGTATTCTGTCAGAGGTAAAACAACCAGGAATCATAAATATCAAATATGTTAGATGTCCTGCTGTGGGTTGTGGTTTTGCAAAAAACCAAAAATAAGATAAACAACATGGAAATCAACATCCAGTTGGTGATGCTTCCAGGTCTGCTTGCTCTCATCAAATATGTTAGATGTTTTATGATTCCAGATCGAGGAGGCTCCAACTTGATTGGAAGCAGTAAAAGAATCGTAGTGAGTGACACCACACACCCTTCAGGATTATCTGGACAAATAATCGAGAAATGGACCTCGCCCCGATCATTTAAGGGCCAAAATCACCTGTTGTGTATCCAGCTTTAGACTGATATTTCTGCTGCTGTGATATCCAAACAGGTATCAATATCGTTTCATTTTGACTAGTGTCATATCAAAGTATAAAATTCTGGTATCTTGAAAGCCATATTTGGTCGTACTTAAGTATTTGATGTATAAAAATGTGGACCTGCAGATTGGAGTCAGATAACTGAGCAATAACAACTTTCAAATGTCCTCTTTTAACGTCTCTTTTCCCCGTTGTCGTGATGCTTTGGATGTGTTGTGTGAAGCACTTTGAATCATCTCTCTCTGCTGTAATGTGTTGTATGAATAAACTGGCCTTTCCTTTCTTTGCCTGTGATAAAAATTCATCCCAAAGTGACACTGCATGTCTGCACACAAACCTTCGATCCATCAAATATTTGCAGAGATTTCATGCGACGTGCTGACCAAACAATCGCCATCAATAAACCCATCCGGCTACTGTGGCTAACATCCGCCATGTAAGACCAGCTCATTGGCCACGAGCATCAAAAACAAACGAGATAATGAAGCGAGAGATAAGAGAGGAGAACAATGACTAATCTTTAACACATCTACATCATCTATGGTAGGAAATAGGGACGTGGATTTCAAATAAATTTACTGCCAGTGGCAAGTAATTTCATTTTTTTTTACCGTTGTACAGATGATGATGATCCTTTAGTGAAATTTATGGTCTTGGTCTGGTCTTGATCTCGCCCTGACTCGGTCTTGGTCTTGACTTGGTCTTGGTATGGACTCTGTCTCGATCTCTAAATGTCTCGGTCTCGGTAAGTGTGGTCTTGACTACAACACTACCACCATGTGTCGCCTCACACTAATGCTTTCTTCTTCTTTTGTTATTAAATGGCAAATTGCAACAAGCTTTCAGACTCAACGGCCACCGTCTGGCGGTAGGAACACCTAATTTATAACCAGGTGGAGGTAATAATAAGGTAAAGAAGACATTGATTAAGATGATATAAAAGTCCCATGAACACTTTGATTTCCTATAAATGAATTCCAACATCTTAACCCAAACTACAGCTCATAAGAATATCTACTTTTTTATCTTATACTGTCTCAGAAATAACTGCCATGAATCCGATTACTGTCATTTCAACAAAGTGAACATACCAACTCTGTCATAATGATCGGCTCTTCTTCCTCATCAGGCTTCTTCAGCCCCAACTTAAACTTTGAAAACAACTCCATTCTTCTCCTCCTGGATATGTGCTGTCCTCAGGTAACACACCAGTGATATGTTTCCTACATGCACCTGGTTCACAGTGTCTCTGTGTGTGTCTGTGCTTATGAGTGTGGAGAAACTGCCAGAGACCCGCCCACTGTGACACCGACACTCATGAATGTAAGGACAGAAGCGGCGTGACCAGAAATGACAGCAAAACATGTCTCAGTGTAGTTGAGGCGCAGCGCCAGAGTCTTTTTATAGTCAGGAAGGCCTGGCTGTTTATTCAGGAAGCGTGTTGACTTATGTAAAGAAGCAGGCTCGTCAACATTGAGAGTAATATGGAGGTATGAGGTCGTATCATCCTCTGTGTGTGACAGAAAGCATCCCTGCTGAGACAGACCTGTATGTCAAAGTGGAAGAGGATGTTGTTTTAAAACAGCTGTTACATCGCTCCCTACAAACACACCAGACTCCATTGATAAAAACTGTAAATGTAGCTCACAGACAATGGAAGGCGTTGGTCAATGAGCTGCCTTTACCGGACGGTTTAACTGTGTTGAGTCGTATCCAAGCAAACTTTTTAAAACATAAAAAGTGACACAAACAAATCAGCAGATCAAGAAGTCTACAAAGCAGCAACCACTGTGATCTGCAAGTTACAGTGTTTTTTTTAAAGGAGTCTGGCTCTGAACAGCTGTTTCTGACTTTAACAAAATTATCTGTTCCTGCAGGGGGCGCTGGAGTCCCATCGATGGCGGTCTCCATGCTGGAAATGCTGTCTCAGTCTAACTTTGAGTCAACCTAACGACAGGCTGAGAGCTGGAGCTGAGGCGGGTTTTAAACCTCCTGACAAACCGTTACACCGCGCCCACCTGTCAATCAGGTCAGCTACACGCCTTATTGTGAATAACTCTTATCCTTCATCAAATCAAAACTGATGAGTCATCAAAACATTCACCCCCCGTACAGTGTGTGTCTATCCAGACACGAGCTAATCACACCTATTTGGTTTTTTGAACCAGGCTGTAAACATGTTCATCTCTGCTGTAAAAACAGGCTTTTTAGAATGGGTGTGTATGTGACTTCCTGTGCTTCTGCAGCCAGCCTCTAGTGGACACTCCAGGAACTGCAGGATTTTACACTTCAGCAACACTGGAGGTTGCCGCTTGGGAGTGACATGTGGGAAGGTAGCCACAGGTCTGATTCAAATCTGGGCCACCCACTTTGAAGACCCCGGCCTCTATGGGGTACGCAAACTAACCACTCGACCACCAGCAAGCCCCTAGGGATCCTTTCTGTTTACTGTTATTCAAAAACCTTTAGTAACCTAAAATAGTCTCCAGGTTTACTAAAACTTTTAGTCCTGTAATAACTGGAAGCTTTTTACCAAGAAACCATTTTTTGTACCCTGATTCAGCACCAGGTGACCCTTGGAGTGACCTTTTGTGATAGTGTACAAAAAAAAAACAACAAAACTAAACAACATAATCCACCTCTCTGATGTATTATATACGGCTCCACATGCAGGCCTCTGAACCAGCAGTCGCTAAGCCTACCTGACAATCACAGAGGATTACAACAATCGAATTACTTCTCACTGATCACTCGTGGGAAAGAAAGGACGGAAAATATTTAAAGTATTTGGTGTGTTGGTTCAGGACGACTGAAAACGGTTTCCATTCCTACAAGAGGAGAGTCGAGACTTCGTTTAAAGCTCCACCTCTCACCTGACGATAGGTGAAAGATCGGAGGCTGAGCTGCATTGTCATTCGTACAACTGGATTATGTTCACCTGCTGTATTTAGAGAACAGGCAGCTGTACCTACAGTTATTACCTGTACGCCCCCCCCCCCCCCAAATCCACCACATGTGCAGTTGTCACGATACTTGAGTCATGATTTGATATCATTGCGATTTTAAACATTTTGCGATATGTAATACACATTAGGGTTGCAAAATTCTGGGAATTTTCAAAGTTGGAAACTTTCCATGGGAATTAAAGGGAATTTATGGGAATAAATGGGAATAAACCAGGAATTTACTAAACTGAATGTTGTTCCTTAACAGGGAACTTAAATATAGTTGGGGAAAATCTAAAACAACCAGATTTCATGCAAGTACACTTATCTATTTCCTCAATCACATGCACATAGCACACTGCTTACTGCAGGGCTATTGATTCCCCAGCTTAACTTCCCAGGGAGAGTTTCTAGACATTTACTGGAAATGTTTTCCACCAATTTCACTTTTTTGACAGCAGATTATGTCCACAAAATTAAATTAAATCAAGAACTGTCAAATTAGAAAAGAACATTTTTATTTGGGAGTCAAGCCCCCAGACTGACCAGCACTGCGATAAAAGTCAAACCCTGTAAAAGGCTGCAAGCATAGAAGTCGTAGGCATTTTTAAATTACTTAAAATTGCTCGCAAACTCCCCACCTGCACACTTTCTAAATTGCACAAATATGTTAGCAACAGAACTAGTTTCTACAATTCAGATAATGCTCTCTTTCTCTGTATTTTCCTTGCAGCAGCGTTTTAGTAAAAAATATCACTCAGGATCTGTAGTCTATTTAAAGCTTCAGCTCCTTTTGATGCTGTGGAGCATTAAAATAATGGAGCGTGTCTCGTTTTAAAACGTGGAGCACTGTAACGTGTAAAAGTATTGAACATTTCTACGACTTTAATTTGAAGCAGTAACATGCAGAGCCGGGGGGGAGGCAGGTGTTACTGCACGGCTCTCCATAACGACTGAATATAAATAAATAATGGAAAAAAAACTGCTATTTCTCCTTCCTCTTCCAAAGTGTACAAATCATCGAAGAAGCATTTTCTCTCTTTGAAGCCATTAGATTAAAACGACAAATGATCGGATAAGCTTTCCTTAATTAATGTTAATTCCTTCAGTACGCTGATGGAAGCCCAAAATAACGCTTGGCTGTTGTCGGGTTTGTGTTCTTTCTGCAAGCCGGTCTATGTGCTCTGCCAAAGATAGAGTACGATGTAAAGGAGTATCACTCTGTAGCAGCACTGTGCCATAGAGCTGTAAGTGGTCCCAGCTAATGAAACAGAGTGAGACTCCCGTCTGTTCAGATGATCATCACATGAGTTTCAGGAGGTAAAAAGTCTACTAATTACAAAAACAAAATATTTGTAAAGGTCAATAGTTTGGAACGAAGACCTTCAGTATTTGGATTAAGAACCTTGTGAAAAATGTGGGGCAAACTTAAGCACCTGACCGGCCTGTTAACGGTGGGAATGGTGACCCTTAACCCCCCCTTGTCTCTGAGGGCTTAAACACTTAAACCCTTTTCACACTTGCAGAAAACTCCTGATATTCTCACTCTGAGCGTCATGTGATCACACAAACATCTGAATGTTTCCCCTCTTCACTCTGAGCGTCATGTGATCACTCAAACATCTGAATGTTTCTCTCTTCACTCTGAGTTTCTCCTCCAGCCTCCTCGTATTTATTCTGCAGAAAGTCAGAGTGAGCTGATGTGAGAACACAGCAGGATATAATCAGGAGAATTCACCTGGAGCCAGTGGGAGGGGCCAGTGGGAGGGGGTGGTGACCTTTACTCCCTGTGATCGCTGCACGACCATAGACTGTCTGCACGCCACCTCTACCATCTCCATGCTCTAATCAACCTGCTGCTGCATGTTTCCTGTTCTCCAGGATGTTCTTCTCCTCTCTTTAGTTCACTTTGAGATGTGAACAAAGCCAAAAGCAGCTTTCACACATGCATCTGCCCCTGATATCTTTCAGAGTTTTTATTCACACCTCGGCTCACCCTGAATTCCAAAATTACTTCTAGGGAGGCTGGCAGGAAAATTCAGGGTTAAGTCAGAGTGAAAAGTTCAAACATGCAGCTCAGGTTTTGTGCACGTATGAAAACTCCACAAGTGGGTTTGGTACGCGCGTTAACACTCTCCTCTTCTTGAACATGTGGGAGTTTTTAAGAGCTTTTTTAAGGGGGGAAAAAGATGAGAAAAATCTGAATTTAAAGATCTTCATAAGTGGTGTCTGAGAGCTTCTAACAGTCTGAACTGAGCTGTGTTAACACCTCCATGATAAGATGCTTATTGCCATGCAGGAGGATGATGATTGCTTCCTCCTGGCATGAGAGGAAGGAGGCGGCAGAGGAAGCTGACAGCATCCTGGCAGCGTTTAAAGACAGCAGGAAACAAAAAAGAAGGACGGCAGCTCTGTGAGAATAAAAACCACCACAGGGTTTAAAAACAGAACAAAGCTTCTCTTCACCTTCACTCACGATGAAAAGGAGAAAACTGTCACCACTCTGTCAGCTCATTTTTCACGCCACTATGAAGAGCTATTTTAAAACAAGTCATCGTTGAAGATTAAGATCTACTTTTACTTCTCGTGGAGATGTCGTTCAGGCGTGTCAGACGATACAATCTCTGTTATGTAATGATCTGTAGAAGGGGTGTGGCCACATGAAGCCCCCCCTCAACCCTCAACGCCGCCCACAGGTCGTTTTCAAATATCAACTAATGTAGAACGTGTTTCCAAGGACCGGCTTCACTGGGAGGAGATCATGCATCATGTGGTCCCACACGAGGGGCGGCTGTTTGCCCCGTGTGACCTGTAGGGAACAAAGATGCTTTCCACCTCCTCCTGTTCCTGTGGTTGAATTATAAGTCAACCTAACTGTCTCCTTAAGAGTGTCCTACGAGAGAATTGAATCAATGTGGCCCTCTCTGTGGCCGAAGTCGCCCATCCCTGATCGTTAGTATCAACAAGTACAGAAGCTTTAAAAAAAACAAACAAAGATGCGTGAGAGAGGAATGAATCCATCACTGTCTACACTGCACAAACACGCTGGCTACTTTGACTATGTTTCTGCAGGAGTTTGCATGCAGCTGATCACTGAAAACAAGAAATAAGCCATTACAGGGACTTCTACTTTTTGTCTCTCTGGTACCCAAACAGTGTCGATGTAGTTTGAGCTCACAGTTTCAGGACTTTCTGCAAAATGCAACAACCCCAGAATCATTTGCAAGCTTTTTAGAAAATGTCAGCCTTATTGGAAAACTCCTTCACGGTTCAACACTTGCTGCCCTTTTCCACATTATAAAATCAATTGCAAAT